TTTCTAGTAGTCTAAGGTTTTTACTCTCAGACTGCCTTAGAGAATAGTATAATAGAAATTTTGGCAGATGCACCAAAATGTGCTGGCGGTTCAGTGGTTTTGTAGTTGAGTACAGACGAGTGACCAGTCAACCTTTATCTGGTTATGCAGCAATATAATGGGGTTTGGGGCTACGCCCACGCCTCGAAGAGTCGGGGGGACGGTCATCGTGGCGATGACAAAACTGGCGCCAATTTGGCGCCAGCGCCGAAAAAGTGCTATATTCGTGATCAAGACACCGAATTACCTACCTCTGTGGGCAAAGTTTCACCAAAAAATTTCTCATTTCGGGGTAGTTATAGTTGAATAGTGCCATTTTATTTCTCGCTGATGATTTTTGCGTTTCCAGCAACAATATTTGAGCCTGGTTTTTTTCAGCTTCACCGCATTTGAACCTCTGGTTATAGGGACGATTGGTGCTCTGATTATCAGTGAAATAAGATTAGACTATATGGGAAAAAATCATGGAAACCTTAGTTTCTGCAGAACGAAAACTGCCCTTCTTCCTCTCAAGTTGATGAGAATTTCAACTTGTTGACGGAAAAAGATCCGCTTTTTCTCAATAATAGTTTAGTTTGACTTCCTACAGTGCATTATACCCTGAAACAGTTCACACTGTTACAGCAGCGCAAGGCATATGTCGACAAAATGGCTACGACCGCTTTTTTAGGTAAAGCGCGTCGAATATGGTGTGAGTCCGTAGCCGACTATCGCAATGCACTTAACCTCACGCCTAAATTCTTTTGTGAGCCACTTGCGCTGTACTGAAAATCGTTATTGTTCGTACTACTGAGTCCTCTGCTTCCGCTTTCTGCAGAGAAGCAAACTGTCGTGCCCACTGCCCTTGAGGTTTGTTAGGTTTCTATACCCCACGAAGACATGAGAACTATATCACTATATCCTAGAACTCGGTCCCCTGCCATTTATGGGGCACTGTATCTACAATTTAGGCGAAAACCTTGCCTGATATAGCCCCGCAAGTATGAGCATTTTTCAGCAGCAGCGTTCAATAGAGCACGTTGGAGAACCCGTGAAGTTCTTTCCATCGAGACATCTCATAAGCGAATATACTTGTTGTATTACAGTACCAATTTGGCTGACGCGCAGTTCTGCGCGTATGGTTCAGACCATGGCTCAGCGAGTTATGAATATGGTGACTCTTCCATTTCAAGGTCCCTTGCTAGCTCCTATTAGCTGTTGCCACCTCCTGTCACCCATCAGTGATGTCCACGTTCAGCCCGCTGTATCACTTCTTCCATTTTGAGGCTCCCTCTCAGCGGTTATCACGCCTGCCACCCACCAATGATGTTCACGTACAGCCCTCATATCACTTCCTGGACCCAAAGTTCCACCGTTGCTGGGGCGCGAGTTATGAAATTTGTGACCCCCTCTTTTGAGGCCCCTTGTAAGTTCCTGTCAGTATCACTTCCTGCCACTTACCAATAATGTTCCTGCCCGACCTACTACATCACTTATCAGTTTGAGCGCTCTATCACTGTTTTGAAGGAAGTTATGAATTTCCGGTCAAACACATACACATACACACATACAGGGGGGCAAAAAAAGTCACTTCGACCGAGTCACATATCAGCAAAGTTTTCGCAGCCCAGAGAGAAGACGTGGATACGAGTACCAGGGCGGAAGATACCCAAGATGTTCCTCGATAAGCAGGAGCTGGCCCTCGTCACCTTCATGTACACCTTCATCTCCAGTACCTGGAGACCAGTACTCTCAATCTGGAAGACCTCCAACATCGAGCAGCTCCGACAACGTCGCTACGGTCTAGGACATCATCTTCACCGCAGTCGTCAAGGAGCGGGTTGATGGTATGGACCGGAGGTACCTGGAATGGAAAGACCAATATTTTCTTCGTGGACCCCGGACTGAAGGTGACACATCGAGCAACTCGAGAAGAATATCCTCCCCACATGTCGCCGCCCCTACCTTCTTGGAAACTTTGTACTGCTACAGCATTGGGTGCCACCACGTGGAATCGAAGGGCGGAGCTTCTGGTACATTAGGCTCACAAGAGTATTGACTAAATGACGATCTCGATTAGAGGATGAGGATGATTTGGCTCACAAATCCGCCTTGCCACAATTTTTGGCAATCTACGTGATAGTCTTCTTCAAAAAATAAATCAATTCTCGGTCGTTATTGAAAAGAAATGAAGAATACTCGAAATGGTGGACGCAGTGTACTTCAGGTAGACTGGCTAAGTCAATTCAATAAGGAAACAACGAAAACCAACGACAATTACAACATGACATACGACTACGGCAGCATTATGCACTACGGCGGAACTAGGTAGGTTTGGAAAAAAAATGAAACCCAACTTTCGCATCATGACCACTGGTGCTTCAATGATGCAATCGTTATCCCACAAATTCGAAACAAGTCAAAATTGGTATCTCATATGCAATGTTGAGAATCATATCTAGATGATGACTCACTGTTGTTTAGTGCATCGTTCAACAAAAGCCAACAATGGTTCCGTTCGATGTGGATTATCAGCAAACCCTTGGGTCTCCATTCATTTCATTCATCGAACTTTCAATGCTCAATGAACACTATGGATGCAAAGGTTTGACAGCGCAGTTAAAAACACACTTACACAGATATCGCGCTTCGCAGACGCTGTCTCGGTCCTGCTCGAAAAGGGGCGGAGATGTGGAATTCTCTAAGGAATTCATCAGTGCTTGTCGGTCCGCAAAAAAAGGCAAGGACTTGAATTTTTAGCGGTAACTCTTACCTTTCCGGCATACACCACCCATTCTGCTCTTCTTCAAGTTGACAGTGGCCATTTATATGGCTTTGAGTGCCTGTGCACCGTCGGACAAGGCCAGCCGATGTGCAACTCATTTCTCGTTAACTTCCCAAACAAGTTTAGTACCACTGCCCAAGTTGTAAAAGATCCTAATAAGCAAAGGTTATTCCATATTGCGGGAATTTGGTCAACAGAAGTATGTTCGGTAAGCAGCGCCACTCATTGCCACCCTACCTCCACCATCCTGAACATGCTGACAAATGGCTAACAACTGAAACAAGTTCCGCTCTTCTTATAGCGCTTTCTGTTACAAAATTCAGAAAACTGCAACAAAGCCACATCCGTCAAATGCGAGATGGGCGGATTTCCTCACCCACGAGACTGCCAGAAATGCATCTGTCCTGGTGGTTACGCTGGACCCCGATGCACTGAGAGAGTGAGGAAGGAATTAGATATACTCGTCATAAAGGAATTGGTGCCGAAAGCGTTTACTTTAGCCATCAACAGGGTGCGGCGATACAATTAAAGCTTCGCCTAATTGGACGACACTTGAGAATACTGTTGGCCTTGGCCGTGACGAGCAAGAAGACTTTGAGACATGTCACTACTGGATTGAAGTAAGTCTTACGTCCGCAAACAAGCAGGTCAATACTCAAATGGCATGCTCACCGTAACTTTTGATTTAGTATGGCGCCTAACATTACAAAGAGCGATTTCTGGGATGATTTATGGTGCTCATCATTGCAGACCGGTGGGGCGGTGCGTGTGACTCGGCTGTGACGCGACTGTCATCGCTGCCGCGTCACAGCCGAGTCACACGCACCGCCCCACCGGTCTGCAATGATGAGGACTGTATCTCTGAGTGTCCAGTGATGACAAACTCATCAGGCCCACTAATTATGACTGGCTCGTATTTTGCAGTCTCCTAACGGAACCGAAATCGAAGTGAGACTTGTGAATTTCACAAAAGGTCTTTCTGTTGACGGATGCAGTTACGCAGGTGTAGAGATCAAGACCAATGAGGACCAAACGCTCACTGGTTACAGGTATGCTGTTAGTATAATTAAGAGAGTGAGAAGGCCGACTCGAATGAAGAGGAAGAATTCGATTGGAATGACTGTTTGGCAGTCTTTCACAGAAACAAGAATCAAATTCACAAAACCATGTCATGCGGAAGCCCTGAAAGGCGCAGTGAATTGCAGATTCTGCTCACCTGACGCAGCTGGAACAACTCTTCGTTCTTACACAAACCGTGTTCCAATAATGACATATAACAGGATTGTCAAAACGACAACAGTGCTCGAATACCGACACGGTACTTGTTTACTATTTCTTCTCTTGAAATAACTAAGATTAACCCTAAAGCATGTAGTTCCTGCAAATTCACCAAGACCTACGACTTCTACCACTACTACTACTACTACAACTACACGAAACAAGGCGACCTGTTCCGTTCATAAACATACAAACCGACTCTAAATGCGAGGACAACCATTCGTAAGACACGTTCCCGTATCGCTGGTTCCCCGTCAAAAATTACCAGAAGATGTTTCAGTTGCCTCTCTCTTGTACCGAGTGGCTTCTGCAAGGGGTACACTATCGGAGGCTACCAAGAAGAAAGTGTGTCCAAGATCATGTGGCTTCTGTGATTCTTTGCGTTAACTGCCACTGAACCGCAATAAAGTTTTCAAGGATCTCTAGTCCTTGCTAAGTTTGTCTGTTGGTGTGTTTTTGGATGTACAGGGGAGGGGTAGCTAAAAAAAGGTCACTTTTCTTCATTGACCTTCTGTGATTCTTTGCGTTAACTGCACTGAACC